TGATTGGCTCAGTATATCACATTACGTCAGAGGACATGTCTGCCACACAGGACATAACTGCAACGGTACACCTGTAGGAGGGGAGGGCAACCTCGTTCCCAGGGTCCTCTCTCTTCCTCCCTCGAGAAAGTACTTTCTCGAGGGAGGAAGAGAGAGGACCCTGGGAACGAGGTTGAGGGGAGGGGAGTATAAGGAGACCCGTCATAGATAAAAAGTTGACCTCCAAAAGGTTAAAATTCCGCCGGGACGTTACAAACTGGTGATAGTACTACTGTGGAAACCTGTTACGTCAAGAAAATCTAGAGAGCTTGACTTTTTTCAATGAAAAGTCGTTGGTACACTCCAAAGAAGAGAACATAAAAATCCATTTGTTCCCCTTGAGATCTGTAGTTCAAATGCTCCAGTACCATCAACTGATGGAGTCGCAGTATTGACATATCAAAGTGTGCTGGATAAAGCTGCGTCTTCTCTTCTTTTCCTGCAACTAATATGGGTAGATCAGGCGATCTTAAAAACATAGATAAACTTAGTAGTAATCAAATTCAGTAGTGACTTTAGTGATAAAAATAGCTTCTCACTAAAATACAACTCACGGTCGATTTCTACTCGCCAATTTTCCATATTTTTCAAAAAGAAAGATACACGATTTAAGATCACACTTAAAACATAGTCCAAAGAAAGAGGAGACAAATCTAAGCGGCTTTTATAATGGTAAATTTATTGCTAGGACAGCCCCCTAGTCAGCTGTAACGAGACGTTTTCCGTGCGGAACTGCGCGGTTAGGGACCGATATGGACTATCAGCTTGGGTGCTGTTGAATGCAGGAATAACGGCGGACGGACTTGTCTTGAGGAAAGCTCGGAAGGGTACAGGCTCGCTGCACGGCACTTGTTACTCAATGCCAAAGGTACAGGGTCGTTGTCTCTTGTCAGCTGGACAGTAACTCGGCAAGGACTCTCACAGATCTGGAACTCTCTTGTCTTCTTTATTGTAGATTAAAGATCATCCTTGCGGCTATTTTGTTGCTGTTGTTTTGCTTTTCAGCTATTTCTTGCGTCAATTAAGGAGAACTTTCGAAAACAACACCCGACTCAGTTTTTTTGCATTGCTCAGTTTTTTTTTTTTTTTATGATTATCCCGAGGTCAGGGCTCTTCATAAAAACAAAAAGATAAATATTTTAACAGAATAAAATCATGATGATTTATTGTTTTTGTTTATTGGAGAGTCCTCACTGGCTCGGATGATCATAAAAAAAGTGAAGCGTTCATAGTTTGAGTAGCGCTCTCTGTTTTTTCGTTGCCATAGTCTCATTAAATTGTTTTAAAAAAAACGTGTCAAAACACGTACACCGTACCGACATCCCAGTGCTTACGGCCACGTTCTGATAAACAAAGAACACAAAGTGAAAAGACCGTCGAATACTCAGTTGAAATAAAAGACTTCCTTACTTCTGAGTTCTTCTTTCTTTTAATAAGGTGGTTTGCTTCATTGCCCTTCAGTTCGCAGACCGCAAAATCCGGGCATAATATCCCGAAAAACTCCTTGATTAGTTCCTAGGCCTAAATATTTCGCCGCGGTCAAACCGTCAAAGCCTGGGAGACAGCCGTACAGGATGACTAAGCAAAAACACTCCCAGTTGTTTTCCAAAAACTCTAACGATATCGCTTAGCTTCATGCCAGATGACTCTGAAAAAAGATCGAAGATACATATGCCATTTGCCGGCCTTTAGGGCTTTCCCGATTACGCTGGAAAAATCGCCAGAAAGTGCTCAAAACATGGCAAAAAAAAAAGTGCTCAGATAGTGCTTGATTTCTATAAAAAGTGCTTGAAATTAAGAAATAGTGCACGAAAGTTGCTCACAGTTACGTTTATTATTATTATTATTATTATTATTTCCTAGCAGATTTTTTTTTTCATATTCCTAGATTTCGTGTCGCTGAGATTTTCGCTGCAAGCATTACATCTAAGTTTTCCTCCCACTACGGTAAAGTGTTAATGTTGACCTGGGTACTCTTTCAGACGCTCCCATGCACTCACATTAGTGGTTTTAGCGCTTCCTCTCTGCTTGTTAATTCCTTTGTTGGTAGACAATTTTCGATTCCGTCCTATCGATGCGCCTTGTGGTGCACTTAACGACACTACCGAATTTACTGCCACTGTAACTGGGTCAATAATGTTTCCGTCTTCATACTCGCTGAACTGGTTTGTTTCTTCTATCTTTACACTATTTGACCGGTTTGGGAACAATGCTATACAATGCAAACAGTGCTTTCGTCAGCAGCTGCACTGAACAGAAAAGAGCGCTAAAACTTCTCAGAAACACGAAGTCGCAAACCAATCGATCAAAATCGACTGTTACCAAGGTTAAAAGGACCATAGCTCGTGCATTTCCATGACTACAGTTAGCCAGTCAGGCGACAAGGTGGAATTACTCATAATTCATGATAATAGAATCACTCAACTTTACTGAAAACGTTTCAAAGACAAAATATTATATTTAACACTATGGAAAATTGTGAAAAATGAGCTAAATGTTTCCCAAAAAGCGAACAAATGCTCAAATTCTGCTCAAAAGTCAATTTTAAAGTGTTCAAGAGTGCTGGAAATGTAAAATAGTGCTCCAAATTCGAAAAAGTGCCGAAAAAAAAGCCCAGCGCAATCGGGACAGGCCTACCGGCCTTGCTCAGGCCGCAACTCAAGGCCAAGTGCACAGTTTTTCCCGATGCAGACCGACCAAGGCCGGCAAATAACGTGTTTACTTTTTCTCTACAGTATTGCTTTGAAAGCAATTTTTGTGTTGAATTTTAATGAAAGCCATTCAGTTCAAATCTGGCGTACGCGTGATGGGAAATTCGGCACCGCTGGATGGTGCGCGATTAGCCAATCAGTTTCAAGGCGATTCAAGAATCTAGGAATCCGGAGAACTGAAATGCTGGAAAAAACAATAAGCTCTGTCATGCAAATAGTCATATTATTTTGTTAATAAAGGAAAACTTCCATTCTAAGAAAGAAGAAACGTCTTGTGGCTGGCTTAGTCTGCCTCGCCCGCGGATCTCGACAGATATAGCAACTCACAGGTAAGAAAGAGTTAATACTTTACCATTTTATGAATAAGTTGTGTCTAGTCCTATGTAAATAGATTTCAATCTTAAATTTTAAACTTATATCTTCTTAGGTACTTGTTGAAGGTATTTTCTCAATTTTAGTTCTTTTATTTTTACTTTCTGTGTTACACCTGCAAACTAGCTGGTGAGTTTTCTCACAAAAGCTAATTGTATATACACAATAGACTTGACTTGACTTGATGCAGTATAGATATAGTAAGGGAAGATACCCTAGTTTATAGTTGAATTTGAACCCTGCAACCTTGAACTCTTATTGAAAATGGAAATAGTTGGGATGGTGGGGATTCGCGAAAGAAGATTGTAGTAAGAAGAAGCAAATCTTGAACCGTAAATTATTCGCATTTGCATTTTGAGTATGATCTGAGGTCGAGAAAGCGAGATTCATCTGCGGTTTATTTAGGCTTGTACACGTAGCCAAGGCTTTCTAAAAGAGAGGCTTAGCATACTTTCGCTCGAAAACGCACACCACTATCAACAACTTCACATGAAATGCGTAGAAAATTCTGGAAGCAAGAGCTGAACAAAAGGTGATTGGTACCCAGACAATTGATGCTCTATTAGAAAACCGTCTGATCGTTTCACTCATCGAGAAAAGCAGGCTTGTCCGGTCTTATTGTTAAAAAGAGGGTTGTATTCCCATATAGCCGGCTAGATAATTGCTAGTTTGCGAATGACAAACACACCGGTTTATCACTGCTACAAAAATGCTCCGCCACAAGTCTTCCAATGTGCAACTGCATATTTCCTGGGAGACAGCCGTACAGGATGACTAAGCAAAAAAAAAAAAATCCCAGTCGTTTTGCAAAACCTCTAACGATATCGCTTAGCTTCACGCCAGATGACTCTGAAAAAAAGATCGAAGATACATATGTTGTTTGCCGGCCTTTAGGACTGTCCCGATTGCGCTGGAAAAATCGCCAGAAAGTGCTCAAAACATGGCAAAAAAAAGTGCTCAAATAGAGCTTGATTTCTATAAAAAGTACTTGAAATTAAGAAATAGTGCACGAAAGTTGCTTGCAGCTACGTTTTTTATTATTATTATTTCCTAGCAGATGTTTATACATATTCCTAGATTTCGTGTCGCTGAGATTTTCGCTGCAAGCATTACATCTAAGCTTTCCTCCCACTACGGTAAAGTGTTAATGTTGACCTGGGTACTCTTTCAGACGCTCCCATGCACTCACATTAGTGGTTTTAGCGCTTCCTCTCTGCTTGTTAATTCCTTTGTTGGTAGGCAATTTTCGATTCCGTGCTATCGATGCGCCTTGTGGTGCACTTAACGACGCTACCGAATTTACTGCTACTGTAACTGGCTCAATAATGTTTTCCGTCTTCATGCTCGCTGAGCTGGTTTGTTGCTTCCATCTTTACACTATTTTACTGGTTTAGAAACAATGCTACACGATACAAACAATACTTTCGTCAGCAGCTGCACTAAACAGGCGATGCAAGAATCTAGGACTCCGGAGAACTAAAATGCTGGAAGAAGCAATAAACTTTGTCATGCAAAAAGTCATATTATTTTTTAATAAGGGAAAACTTCATTTCTAGGAAAGAGAAACCTCTGGTGGCTGGCTTAGTCTGCCTCGCCCGCGGATCTCGACAGATATAGCAACTCACAGGTTAGGAAAGAGTTACTGCTTTACCAGTATATATTTAGGGAAAATAACTTAATTTATAGTTGAATTTAAGCCCTGCAACCTTAAACTCTTATTGAAAAGGGAAATAGTTGGGATGGCGAGGATTCGAGAAAGAAGATTGTAGAGAAAGGAAGAAGCATATCTTGAACCGTAAATTATTCGAATTTGCATTTTGAGGTATGATCTGAGGTCGAGAAAGCGAGGTTCATCTGCGGTTTGTTTAGGTTTGCACATGTAGCCAAGGCTTTCTAAACGAGGGTCTTAGCCTACTTTCGCTCGATAACGCACACCACCATCAACAACTTCACATGAAATGCGTGGAAAATCTGGAGGCAAGAGCTGAACAAAAGGTGATCGGTACCCAGCCTCGCAGTTAATGAGTCAGAAATCTTGTCTACTCTCCTGATATTTTATAATATCAAGTCTTTGACTTTGTATCGCTGGATTTTCGGTCGAATCGGGTGCGATGAACACCTAATCTTACCGTTTTCTTTCTCTAAAGCGTCACTTCGGCGCAGCTGGTCTAGATCTCGCCAAAACACGAACCACGACTTGAACAAACCGTCACTTGATTTTCCGCAGAAGCGAACTGAAGAGGTATGATTAGGGATAAGTAGCAGAACGGATGAAATTGTAATTTCTAGAGAGGAGGCCGAGGAAGGGAATACGAGTAACGAGTTTCCTTTGAGGATTTTAACACGACAACGAAAAGGCGCGTGGGCCTTCGTCTACTAACAACTTTGCATGGAACCTGAAAATGAAGTTTACCAAAAACAACCTTCCAACTTGGAAACAGTAAAAATTGATGATGAGTCAAGTCATATTCGGTTTACAATACTGAAAATATCGAAAGTTTGCGTACATACTCACAAATTGGTACTGGCAAATTGACAAAGCTCACTCACTCACTCGTGCCTGTAGCCTGTTATTATTATTTCCACTTTACCATGGATCAAATACAACATGTCGACAGTCGATTTTCTTAAAGGATTATTATTAGCCAAATAGGTCACAGGACTTTCTCTAATTTTGACAAAAAGGTAAAATTCTCGATTTTGGATACAGACTGTTTCTGTATGGTATAGCAGACAATTGATGTTCTATTAGAAACCGTCTGATCGTTTCACCCATCGAGAAAACCCCGGCTAGTCCGGTGTTATTGTTAAAAACAGGGTTGCATTCCCATATAGCCAGCCAGATAATTGCTAGCTTGCGAATGGCAAACACACTAGTTTATCACTGCTACAAAAATGCTTCGCCACAAGTCTTCCAATGTGCAACTGTTTCTTACCTTTCACGAGATAAACACGTAAAGTAAGATCTCGATCAGTCAGTCGATGCATATTTGCAAATCAGCGGGCAACAAGAGCGTGAGGGGAGCAGTCTCTGTACTGTTCTGATGAGCCAACAACTTCTCAAAATCAAACTGACTTGAAATGCACAAGTATCAGCCGGAATGGGAAATTCCCATCTTTGGAAGTTTACCACCAGCAAAATTCTGTAGTTGGTGATCATCTTTATTTAGTCTTGCTAGACTAACTTACAGATTATTGAGCCATGCTTAGTATTTGATGCCTATAGAAACAGGAAAATTACTAGTACATAACTTGCATATACTCTTTTAAAATAAAAATTTCTAATCTTATATAATTTCACACTAACAGCTCCTATTAATTTCTTTTTCCACAATGAACATGCAAGCTACTGGTAAAATGGTTTTTAATTATAAGCATGACCCACTGTCAACCTAAGTTAGTTAAAATGAAAGACTTCCTTGCCTTTGAT